GCTCATACTGTATCCGTACACAAAGGTTTCTCTCACTGTTGCTATAGCTGTACATCATGAGATTCCTTAAACACATAATACATCAGCTTTTGGCACAGCTCTCTTGAGCAGGTGTGTTCTGCAAAGCATTCTTCAGAGCCAGCAGGGATTAAACAGTATTTTGTGGGTCCCAGGAGCTGCATTTTATATTACTCTGAGCACCATAAGGACAAGTTACCTCTGTTTAGCAAAGTCAAAAGCTGTTGCACATTCAGATATACAAAGACAGAAGAAGAAAAAAAGGACTATGACTAAAGTGTAGGATGCACCACTGAATTTTTAAATTTCTAACTTGCAACAATTTAAGATAAGTGAGAATGCTTATATGGAAAGCTTATGCAGACATCTGGAGAACAAGTGCTTCTGGGCTAAAAACATTTCTGATGTATTCCAGGAAGGTACGAGAAGTTGAGAAACAGATGTTTTCTATAAAAAACACTCCTACTGTGAAGCTTTCCTGACCTTGCCATTTTTGCTGAAGTGTCTTCTTAGATAACATCACATGGTTGGGATACTTTGAAAACTCGGAATTGCTAAAGGCTTTATTGCTACAAGTTTTGCTGCCTTGAAACACAGTGACACCATGTGGCCAATTGCTTAGGCCAGAAATGACCTGCTGGTGGAAAGGGCAGAGTACAATTTTCTCATTTTTCTTTTACTTTATTAAATTTCTCTTAGGCATGCTCACATGCAACTATATTGACCAGTCAGAATAAACTCCATGAGAACAATGGTCATAGTACACAAAACCAAAGCCAGTGACCACTTAGGATTTCAGCATATGTTCAAATGTCTAATGTTTGCAAAAGCGTCCATTGGAAACTCACCTGTAAGTTTAGCAAGTGAATATCCATAAGCACAGTTTGCATGTGTGCCAAAACATCCTAATCACTTGGTGGATGCAAGCAACTGTTAATCTATGGTTCTACCTTCTTCTCAAAAAAGTGTACCTGGAAGGTGAACTTAAAAATCCATGGTTTAATTCTGCAATAATATCACACGAAATTGCAATTAATTTTGAAAATCAAGAGATTTTTGCCTTGCTCTCATTACTTGTTTTTCTTCCAAGTATATGCAAATATCTCCATTTATTTTTACAGGCATTTCTGAGGTAAGTATTTAAAGTCATGAGTGGGAATACTGCTGCTAGAAATGTTCACAGTAGTTGTTATCACTCTGCATTATATAATATGGTGACTGATGTGATGAATCATCTCTCCCTAGCACAGGTTTTTTTTCCAGATGAAGTACTGCACATTCAAACACTACAGCTCAGAGCGAATGGTAAGAAGGGGCAGATCTCTTTGAAAGAGAGACACAGAGACAGGCAGACAAATAGGCAGATGAAAACTGAATACAGATTAGTTAAATATCCATCAAACAGAAAGAGAATAATACATGAATCAGCTCTTCGCAGAGAATATATTCACTCAGTAGTACTAAAAAAAAAAAAATTAATGTTCAGTAAGAAACCTGTATTTTGAGGCAGGGTTCAGAATATCTTGCTTTCAAGACCAGAAAGGAAGGCAAATTATAACAAATATGACTTCCAGTTGCACAGGCTTTGCAAAGTCAATGTTCCATCAATGTTGCCTTTCTTACTGATTAGTTAGATAACATGCCGGTGTAATTTTTTGGTTCAGTATTGAACTCCTGGTGAGCCATTTATGTCAATAATATCACAGTGCATCGGAGTGTAAATTAAATAGGTTAGTTTGAAAGCCTGATGTAACAGGCTATTCACCCACTTTCATGTATATACATAGTAGTTTAGAGAGCCCAGGAAGCACCAGGCAGTTAGACACAAGACTTTCTGACTGCTCAAAACAGGAGTTTGAGTTGAGGAAGATTAATGACCTGATCCTTCAAATTCTGTCAACCTCACTAGTGAGATTATGCTGCCATCTTGTGACCTGTAAATTTTACTGAGCTACCGTGGCAGAAGTTTTCCCCCTAGACTGGGAGGGCAGTGTACATATCTCCTTGGTACACAGACGCAATGATGATGCTTTGAGCAGCTGAGACCTCTTTTATATTCAGACCCATGTTGTCTCTCCTTAGCTTTCTTATCTGTGACTCATGGGCTGCACCCTTCAATGTCATTGTCACTGCTAATGGAAGTGCAGGGACCGAAGGCAGCCCTGCAGAGGGGGTGAAACCCATAGTTTAAAGAACTGTGGTTTTGTAACAAAGGTTACAGAATGTCCCCCTGCTGCCAAGAGAATCATCCATTCTGGAAAGCAAAACACACAGTTAGCATTTGAAAATTACAGTATACACTGAAAGAAAAAGATATATTCTTTACAGCTGGGAAGGCTGATGATTATAAATGATTATATAAATTTGCACATTGATGATGAAATTTTCCTCTCCATCTTCCCAAATATAAAGCTTGTATATTTATGGTAGAATTTTTCTTGCTTGAAAAAAACCTGTGTTATGATTGGCTGTATTCTGAATCTAAATGGGATTGTTCCATCTGGTTAAATTAAATAAAATAGCTGTATGTCAAAGTGGTTAAGCTGTTCCCTTGAAACAGTACAGACTTCACTGCACAGTGACTGCTTACACAGTACTTTGGAATACCCCAAAAAAGCTTAGTATGGGTGCAGTCACATTGAAAAAAAAAAGCTGGGAACCCCTCTGCTAATAACCTCCCATTCTTTCCTTATACTTCAACTATATGTGCTTCCATCAGTGTTCACTCCCAAGACACTTCAGAAGTGAATACATAGAATCAAACCTTGAAATGATGACAATCTGAAATGCATGTGCAAGGCAGAAGCAGAGACATGACAGGAACAAGCAGAGTTCTGAGCTAACAAGGCAGCTGCTCTGAGCTTGAGGCATTGTTTGGCAGAGCCCATGAAAGGCATTCATAGCTAAAAGGTTTCCTCAACACTTCTACCTGGAGACAAATCATCAGTCTTTCTTCACTATCAGAGCCTCAACCACTATTATACACCAAATCATATTTTCTCTCTAATCCTTGTTTGCCAAAGCATCCTGCATTTATACTCTGATTAGTTTCCAGGACACACTGTATTTTCTTAAGGATATGGCACAGCAGAATAAGCATTCCCAGCTAACCATTGAAGATTACATTTGCCAGTTCCCTGTTTTTGAGTAGGCCAATTGCATTGCATTGATTGTATAACTGGAACCTCAAATCCTTCGACTTTATACTTTCTTATAATTATAAAGTATTCAGGCAAATACACAGCCAGCTGAATCATCTCTGTGAGACTTAGCAGTGTATTTCAAGAACCATAATAATAACTATTACTGCTATGGCAGTGTGAAGCTCTGGGCAGATTTACATCTAATCCATTTGCAAAGCTAAGTCAAGAAAAAAACAATGTAGAGAGTAAAGTCTACAGTGAAGGCCTCAGCAAGTCTGTGAGGACAGGCATAGACCTTCGCTCAAGAGGACAAGGAAGACATCTCAAGATCCTTTCTTTCCAATATTCCTGACAGCAACGCAATTTGTCAGGGGAGATATTTGGCATAGTCACATGAGGAGGAGAGTCCTTGACACTGTGCTGCAAGTTAGCAGTGACCCATCTGACACAGCACAGCACGATGCAGGAAAGACGCTGCAGCTTGTACAGCTGATGTGCCTGAGATCCAGGAGAATGTAAGTGTAAGGACCAGTTGCAAAAGTCTAGACCTACAGCGTGAGATCCAGCTGGGGTAGCTGAGCCTTCTGAAAGGGCTGAGAAAGGACACCCATACTACTGTTTCTGGAACTGTAAATACTTTTTACTCTGGACAGCCACTTTCCAATCCCCTCTATAGAACTGGAAGTGAATTCCAGTTTTCCAGACTATCTGCTACATCTCCTTTACTATACACTATGTAAGCAAGTAGTAGAAAAATTAAATCATCTGTTAAGGAAACTTTCCTGTCTGACCATTCAGAAGCCATTCTGGCAGTCACACTCACACCACCAGAGATTTTAACTGCTGGGAGTGAAGCTCCTTCACAGTGGATGGCTCCAGTGAGCTGACAGGTTCATGTTAAGCCTTGCTTGACTCCCCACTCTGAGAGTCAGACCAGGTTTCCTTACTGCCTCGACCCCAGGATTCCCTTAGCACAGTCTCATATGTCTAGTTCCTTAGAACAATTTAGTCATGGTGCAGTAACAGAGAAATAGCTCGAGCTGGTGCCTCCAAGGAGGGACCCCCAACAGAGGTAATCCTGGGCTTTTATACCCCCACAGTCCAAGCCCGTGAAGCTCTTCCTGATGAGCCCTCAGTTCCTGCTGTCTCTGAGTGTCTGATCACCTGGCTGGGCCACAGGTTCCTGTGCCCTTTGTTGTGCAAAGGGTGGTTGGTGCCAAGTCACAGCCTCTTGCCTTGGGCTCCCACGCCCCAGAGCTCAATCTGCAGCTCCACTGCCACTGCACACTGAGCTACCAGCACCAAATGTATTCCTCAACATAATCTCACATCAAAGCTTATCTTTAATAATCTATAGCCAAGTGAGAGAATGGAGTTCATTCTTTTCCCTTTCATTCCAGCAAGCACCAACGGATATAATGAAATATGAAGCATCAACCAGATGCTGGAGCTAAAAGTACATCTTGATGACTATCTAGGGAACAAATATTTTTTTCAGCAGCACATACCTGCCTGTCCCCTTATCTTTCATTACTGTCTCTTTTACAGCCACCTTCTATCACAGCAAAGAAAGTATTCAATATCTCTGCTGGGTTTAGATGAAGTGAGTTCTTGTACAAAAGGTCAACCAAAACAATGTACAAGTGAAACTCCAGAGCAGCCTTCAGACTACAACCAGGATGGAATTTGAGTAGCAAAAAATTATTACACCCAATCTGCACAGAGAAATGCTCTAGCCCCAACCCATAAAGCCCCACTGATCCATTACTGACTTCATATCTATCCAGTAAATCACAATTCTAGAATATGGAAAGAGGAAAAATGAATCTCTGTACTCACTCAGCATTCATTCCTATAAGATGCTGATCACTTTGGCTGATCACTTGTAAAATTCCATTGATAGCAATTGGAAGCCCTTCAGGATATGTACCATTTTGTCTCGTAGTAATCTTGTGGTCAAAATCATGGAGACAGTGTTCAGAACTCCACATGGTGAGCTGAAACAAGAAGTCTTTATAGCAGACAGATACTGCTAAAGAGATCTTTCCTTTCCTCTGAAAGGCATAGAAGACCCACTTATGAGAAAAAAATAGTAGAATACTGTCAGAAAACCTCTATGAATCCAGACTTCAGGAATTCAATGTTCAGGGATTGATCATGGTTGTTTGTGGTATGGTAGTAAGCCAAGGATACACTGGAAATCCATAGCTGGCAAGGACATACCCTCTCTCTCGGACTTAATCCACATATGGAAATGGACAGTCACATGTTGATGACAAAGGTAGTATGTCCCTGCAGGAATCCTTGCCATGGCAGCATTTACATCTCCATATTCTTAGAGCCCAGCTCCAGACATACAAATATTTTATTTTTAAATATAACCCACTTCTGGAACAAGAGTTTGTGCTGGGTTTGCCACTTCTTCCTCATTTCACAAGGAGGGCTTAAGACCTACCAGAAGTAATGAGTGATTCCTTCTGCCCTGAAGCAAATATAATCTTTAAATCTTCATAATATATAATCTCCTCTCTATTGCAGTAATACACTAGGCTCTTCCTTCTCTGATACAGTCTGCTCCCAGAATGGATTCAGGTTGCAACAGCAGTCCAAACAGCCACAGAGGCATTAAGTCCACACCAGTGCTAAGTATGTTTGAGAGCCTACTAATTAGACTAAAGCTTGAGGCCTGATAATTAATACCTTTCCTTTCAACCTACTTCATCAAAATAATCTGATCATTTGTATTATAAGAGATAAAGAACTTGTTTTGCAAACTTTGTCAGCAATGAGAGCTCAAAATAAAGTTGGCATTCTTCTAATGAGAGATACGAGGAAAGAAAGAAAAGCAGAATTCAGAAAACCTAACAGAGTGCAACAAAGTAAAATAGAAGGAGAATAAAACAAAGGACCAAGGAGGGATAAAGCTCAGGCCTCTAGTTGCCTGAGAGCAACCACAGAACACAGTGGTTTAGTCTGTGGCTCTTCCCTGAAAGTTGAGGTAGGTACATATTGTGCTTGCTGTTTCTATGGTACCTGCAGGAAGTCAGAGCTGAGGGTGCTGCAGAATTGCCAGCCAAGCAAACAATATCATGACATCTAAGCTCATCAAAGTATCTCTTGTTTGAGTGAAACACTTTTTAGACGATTAATGGTTTTTGAGAAGGCAGAGTTTTTGGGGGGTTTTTTCTGTTTTTTAGATGAAAAGTCTGTTTGGAGGCACATGACCACATACTATCACTTTCAGAGGTATGAAAATATTGAAAACAGGCTTAAATATGCTTTCAGCCTTTACACCTCTTCAATGAAAACCTAAAACACATGAAGAAAAATCTCACAAATAAAAGCATTCCTGATTTTCTCCACATGGAACCTTGCACTGGAGAACTGGAGACCACAGCAAGGAGGAACTGTTCACAAACACTCATTTACTTCCAGAAGAACTGTATTTCTTATACTAAGAAACATTCCATCTAGAATCTCCTTGACTCTGGAATCTGTACACATGTTAACCCTCAGAAAAATCAGTCCTTATTTTTATGTGAAGCAGGAGGCTCTGTCATCCAGGAACACCACCTCATAAGGAGAATTCTGCACTATTTTACAGACAAAATAACAGGAAAGCAGTGGAAATGTGCACAGGCATTGGTCAAGTCATGACTGTATGTACAGTGATTTACCCTGAACAGCTTGCTCAGAGGTCATAAAAGAAACATGTTTTACTACGTGAGTGCTAGAACAAATGACCCTGTTGCCAAACACGGCTAAGAGCTGGAAGAGCCGCATAGCACACATAGGATTTATGAGACTAACCTTTGGACTCCTTCCTGAGTCCAGGAAATTGCATGCCCATGAGGTCTAGCCTGATGTTCATTGATAATGCAAAATTATGTTCTTCTGTAGGGAGAAGAAAAAAAAAGCAGAAGCACTGGAAAGCCAAATAGCCTTATGTGGAGAACTGAAAGGAATGAAGAAGAATAACTTACTGTCTTAAAAAATTCTACTCTCCTCTCAACCCAGTGGAAGGGAGAACCTGCATATGCAAAGGACAGAGAGCAAATTACTTAAAAAATTTGAATGTTCTTAAAAATTCAAGCTATTTTTCTCAAATTTGTGAATTGAAAGGTACAGTGGTATTCCCTGCCTCAGCCCATTACCATCCTCTGTGTGGTGTCTGTTACATGGCTAACAAGGCAGATACAAATGATAAAAATACTCAGAAGCAAATGGAACAAGCAGCAAATGAAGCAGAGAGAGAAGACAGGTCTGGTCTAAATATGTCTGAATCCTTGCTGCTTAGAAACTACTAGGCTTCACCTTCCAGGTTCAAAGCTTTTTCTCAGGCCTCAGAGGAGGAAAAAGCCATGTAAGGAGGTGAATGGGGTTGGCTTTTTCCAAACAGTTCTTTTGCTAGTGGACAGTGTTTTTAGGCTATGCAAAAAGCACTTTAGTAGTCAGAGACAACTTTAAAAAAAGAGAAAAAAGTTAATGTTTATCTCTGGTCTTTCTCCCTCCTCTTTTGGGCATAGTATTCTAGATGAATCAAGGGAAACAGACAGGGCACACCATAAGCCATATACCCTAAGGAAGCTAAATTACCAAATGACTCACCTTGCATCAGATGATGTGTAAGGTAACTGTTGATAAAAGAAAACTCTCACCTATGAAAAAATAACAAGATTTCAAAACCTATTGGTCTAACGGGAAATAAAACCCAAGACTTTCTTCTGAACCCATCATAAGCACTCATGTCCCAGTAAACAACCTGGTGATTAGAACACTAATCTGGGAAGTGGGAGAACCTCATCAGGCACAGCCAAGGCATGAGTATCACCCTTCTAAACCCCAGCTTTTAGTTTAATGGCTATTTCAGGGAGACTCTTAGCACCAGTCTTTAAGAGGATAAAATGGAGTTATGCAACTAAGTGCTAATCTTTTCCCCAATGGGAGAAAATCTATTTTTTTAATACTTTTCTTACCTCAGGACTCTCTAGCAGTTAGAGAACAAAGGACCGTGTTATTTTCACCTCTGATGAGTGACTGAAAAATGAGTGGAATTAACAAGAGATGAAAAAAGTAGAACTTTTTCCTTGTTTTCTACAACAACCTCAAAGTGAGAGACCTTGAGAAAATTTCTATAACCTGACGAGAATGATGCTTCAGTGATGGAAAGCAGTTATTACCTCTTCATAAGAGCATTAGCTGTCAACATCCCAAGACAATAACTGTACTAACAATAACTGATTGCAAAACCTCTTAGTTAAGAAGGCATACAAAATACAGATTTCAGTGACTTATTTGTAGGTAGATAATGTGTTCTGTGTTAGCCGGTGATACCTTCGTTATATTATCCTACAGAGAAAAATGGATTCACCTTGTGGCTCAGCAATTGGCACTGTGATTATTCTACTAATCCCGGAACTGGAAGTGGTTACCACTCACCTCTGGCACTGCACAGTGAAACCAACCATCTGGTCACAACCTGAGCCATCATGCTTTCACTTGCACATGTTTGTCTTCTGGCAGAAGGAGATTTCTGATGGGGACTCTACATTCTACAAAAAACCATACAAGTTAATTACTAAACAGATTTTTTTTAATCACAGAATATCTCAAGTTGTAAGTGACCCATACTCTTTTGTTTATCCTTTTCTTTCCACTCTCCATTTTCCCCCCTCCTTTCCAATGGATTTTTATGTACGCCCACACCACTCCTCTCACACACACTCACATACTTCCCTTTACAAAGGGGAGAAATTTAAGATACTCCTTAAATGCAGGTTTTTTCTTTTTTTCTTTATAAATGTACAATTTATACCTCTATTTTAGTTGATTTATGATTTGTCTAGTTGCATTGTGATTTTGAGTTTATGTATTTCATATACTGAAATTCCACTGCATATACTGGACTGGAGCAAAATATTTCTACATACTTTCCCATCATAAAGTAGAAACTAGAAAAAACCACTTGAGACAGTAGTGGGCAACAGGACATGTAATGGATCACTTTTAAAAAGCTACCATGTTTGAGCTGCACAATATTTCCTCCCACAGAGCTAAAACATGATGATAAAATGTGTTTGATAAGAAGTATTGAAAATCACTTGTGACAGTGTATGACACAATAAATCAGTGACTACGGGCTGAATGCATTGACCTTTGACTATGAACAAACCTCTGAAGTAACAGATTGAGAAGAATAAGGAGCTGTGACAGGACTATTATCCAGCAATCACAACCAAATTTTTCATGGTCACATTTTAACAAAATTACTTTCATGGTGAGTTTTGATTTAAAAGGCAAAACCCCTGTCCCTGATAAAATCTAGACAATTTTGAAATAACTAACTTCCCTTTTCTGTGGGGATGTTCCTGACAAAATAAATGTACAGATTCTTCTGCAGGATACTCTTTTGCCCTTTCTCCTTCCATTTTTTTTAATAAGACAATGGGAATCATTTATACGGAGACTTGTCCCATAATAAACAGCCTGATGAGAAGGGCATAAATGAACCAGACCATAAAAGGAAGAACCAGTTAGAAGACAGCCTCACATTCAGTTTTCTCAAGCATCATCTTTTTGTTCTGTTCCAGTACAAGCCAGCTAGAACTGCTCTATGGCAGGATTTCACGCAGCTGTTAGAAATCTCTCATCACTTCCAAGTGAGGGTTTGGTTTTGCTCTGAAGCAATATGCATATAAAACCACTGACAGCTTTGGATGGAAGATGTGCTGTGGGTGGTATATACGTATCCACTCACTGCCACTTCCCAACTGGTTCTCTCGGATTTGTAAATCTTCAGTGGGGAACAACCAACAGAGCAATATAAAAGTAAGAACTGGTGTCTCCACAGGAGCTACAGTTCTTTTAATTAATTAACAAACCTCCTCTGCCACTTAGCTCTACTTCGACTTACAGAACTCGACATACAGTACTCACAGCATTCACTCATTAAAACCATCCTAAAGGTATCTTTAAGATCCCTAAGTACTCTATGGAATTACTTGCCTGCTAGGTCCAAGGGTAGTCTCTTTACAAAACTCTACTAGTTCCTCTCAAACTGGAATCTGTTTCTACCCCCAAAAAATATTTCAGTTTCAGTATGTACTTTCTTCTTCTAAGAAAGGAATCTCATGAATGTCTGCCTCAACAGAACTGACTAGAACTGTGTCATTCATTGCCTGGTTAAATTTGTCCCTCAGTTTCCATGAAAGATGATGCCCAAAGCTTGTACACATTCCAGAAGACAGGAGGAGCTACTGCATCTCCTCCTGAGGTATTCATACATTTGCTAAATGAAGCCAGGGGTTCATGTACCTGTTCTTTTGACTGTGGATAAAATGCATGAGTGGTATATACCATTTTAAAGGATAAACAACATGTGTTTAACATCTCATGAACCGGCCTTTCTAGTTCAGGCAAGTGCACTTCACACTGGGGAAAGTGAACCTGAATATACCATTTCCTATAATCCTCAAAAATTGGAAAGGGCCCTTAAGGTCATCTTGTCCAAACACCTGATCAAAGCAGGACTTAATTCCAAAGTAATATGATGTTGCTCTTTTCTTTTATTCTGTCAAAAATGTACACCAACAGTGATTCCACAACCTCTTTGGGCACCTCTTCAAGGGTTTAACCACTCTCACTGTGAGGAATTTTTTCTCTGTTGTTTCCCAATTGTCCCATGTGGCAAACAGTGACCACTGTGTGTTGTTTTTGCACTGCACATTTCCTGCTAGTAGAATAGAGAACGCTCAATCTGTATCACTTTCTTATTTTGAATATATTCTTTCTTTTTTTCCCAACAGTGTCTCAGCTGGTGTGAGTGGCTTAATTAGTTGAATTGTGTCTGAGGGTCTGACTATTTTTTCTACCTGCAGATGCAAGATAACCCACAAACTGAATGAAGTAGTTTTTACCAGAACAGCTGTGAGTGTTTACCAGCCACCATGTTTCTAGCATACAAATTATTCTATAAAAGATAATCAGGTATTCAGCAGAAGCCTCTAGGGTACCTGACCTTTCTTATTAAAAGCCTTGAACACTGCCACAATAATCAATCACCAGTACACACAGCACAGTCTGTTTATAAGTCTGGACCAACAACTAGGATTTTAACCTTGATCCTGAACTTACGGGGAAGGATAGCGTGTAACTGTCTTCCTGAGTTATAATCCCTTCCAGAGAAAAAAGTCCGGAAGGTAATGAAAGCTGTCAGAATAATGAAAGGCTTTGGATGGGTTTACAGTTAGCTTTTACCTACCTCATACTACAAACAGCACTATGAATACTCATGATAAAGTGGCAGCCAGATATAGTTTGACAGATATCTCACAAATATTTTATTTTTAATCGCATTTGCCTATATTGGAGGAGAGGAGACCATGGAACATCCCCAAACCCAAAGCAGCATGCTGTCTCTTCAGTCCATTGGCAGCAGCCCAAAGCCACATACTGGAGATTTTGGGAGTTCTGCCAAATGTCCTTGTGTATGTGGTCCATAAATTCTGCATTCTTTGCATCCACTGTAGTAGTACATCCTTCTCTCCAAACTTTGTTAACCTCCCCCTAGGTCTGAGATCAATTGAAACATGTGAAGCCCTAAACCTTAACAGGGCAATTCTATCAACAAGCAATTTATCTTTCTAACACCTGGACATCAGTTGATGCAAGCAACAAACACACTTTATCTGTTTGCAGATTTAAATCTAGTATGAGCAATATTCTGACAGAAGCACCAAGGAGCAGTACAGTAGATCAGTATTCATGTCACAGTCAGTGCCTGGCAGGGAACTAGGGAACTGCTGACTGCTCAGCAGTCAAATGTACCAAGTCCAGCTGATAGAGTCATTCTCAAATTCTGCACAATGTCAAAGTGTGACTTATAAGTCCCTGCTTAATGCTTGAATTTTTAGGCTCAGTATCCAGAATCATAAACAAATGCAGCTTAATCACTGGCTGTATTTATCAATGTAATATCAATCTAATTGCATAGGAGATTCTCATAAAGAATCAGTTCAGATTGAAAGATTTGCCCTTTCATCTTGCTCCAAGACAAATTGTATCACTTACATACATCACTATGTACAAATTTCACGGTCATCTGTGTATATATATCTGATGTCACACAGGGAGGTAACCTCCAAATCACAGATGTCTCCCATTTTGCAAGTTCTCTCACCAGAAATTGGAGGTTGAGCAGGCTGGATTTGAACAAGAATGGCATCTACAGATACTTTAGTTCTGCTAGTGTGATATTAATGGATTTTCCCAGTGTTTTGCTCCTGCTAAATCATAACGGTTGGCTATTTAGCCAAACCTTGGCTCTGTACCCAGACTTGGCTGTTCTGTGACCACCAGCTCCCTTACAGTCAGACATGGTCAAACTAGCTGATTATTGCAGATGTTACTTTCAATCAAGCACAACCAAAGCTGTCCCATGCCTTCCTTTTGGTAATAGCAAACTCAACTAGAAATGAACAATGTGAAAACAACTGCCACTTCAAGGTCTCCTTGAAATAATTCTTAAAAACTAAACACTAAACTAGGTCAAAATTTAAACTAACAAAAACTACTTCAGGTTAACTATTAGCCCAGACCGAATGACCCATCTGGATGGCCTATCACTCTCTAAATCTCACTTCTTGCTGCTGAGGTGCCACATATGGTACACTTTCCAGTGTTCCTGATCACATACAAAACACGCTGCATACAGTCATTAGTCACTATAAATATACCGAACACATCTCATTCTCACTGCAAAATTGTCCTTCTGACCTACTTAAAGGTAGCTTGCCAGAAACAAGACCAGTTTGAGGAATTTTTCAACGGACAACATAATATTCCTAGTCTTCACTAGTCAAAGCATCATTGCCAGTGTTATCATATACCCTTCTGGCCTTGGCCTTACATATTGCTAAGGGTGCTCCCCCTCCATCAGCAGATCATGCAAAGTGCCCGGGAATTGGAATGGCCTGGGTCATGGTCAGTGAGACGGGAGCAAAACTGCCAAAGATAGAGAAAAAAAGAGAAAGCAGACATTACACCCTCAGATGAGGGAAGATGGTCATAGCAAGAACAAGATTCCTGGAAGGCTTGAAAGAACATAGTTGCCCCTGTACATTGCTGTCTAAAAAGAGACTAAGTCTCAGCTTTACAGGGAGTTGTATGTAGACTGGCATTGAAGCAGTAATTGCTGGGCTGTTTCAGCAATTGGATATGATATTTCCAACAAAAAGTACAGACCCCTGACTTCTTTCTCTCCCACTACAACAGAAATGATGCTGTTAGGTATCAAAGTAGTCTTCTTGTATCAAGACAACATGTATCTCTTATCTGAAATGATCCAGAAATGGGAGAATGGTTGGAGCCAAAGCACTTTGCAGCCAGTGCCTAGACTAGAAAAATTAATCCATTTTGAGTTAGTGCTTGATGGTCGAGAATGTCAGACTGACACTATCCAGGGATAGACTCTTGCAGATGGCACAGGCTTATTGATTCAAAACTATCTTTCTGAATTCATAGCATATTAAAATGATAGCAGTGCATTTGAACTTTCTCTTCTAGTTGAAGGCAGAGTTATGCACATGCTCTGTTCCTATACGGGACATCTCCCTTGAAATGTCTATCCAGCTGTCTCCAATCCGACATTCACATTTCACAATCTTTTCTCCACTGCTGAACACTCTTTCAGGACCAGATCCACTGTAAATGGGGGCAGCACACAACGAGCCACCAAGCATTCACTTCACTGTATACAGAAATGGCTCACAATTTAGAATCAGGTGGACTAGTGATTACAAACATAACTAAAAACTCTGCTAATTTCTCAATTACCTTGGCTTGGCATAAGGTCACACTGATCCTGAAAGGCACAGAATCACTCACCCCTGCTTCTCCTGATTACCCCATGCACATTCCTGCTGCTTCCTTCTTTGATCCAACTAAACATTTTAATCTTTTGTGTTTTGGTTTTTTTCTACAGGATTACTTCCCAGTTAGATCGGTAACCAGGAAAAAAGGCATGAGTGTCCCTCTGCACAGCAAGGTATTCTTGAAACAGTTAAGAAAAGTATAAAACCACACCTTTCACTGAAGTGACTTTAATGCAAATATATATTTACAGTCTAAACACAAGATGTTGAAAATTCAGCAGCTGAAGTCACTGAAAATATATAATCCTACATAAATAGAATGTAACTCAATTATTTTTTTCTAAGTGCTATCTAAAGTCAAGGTCCAGACATTTTTAGGTTTAATGCAAATTTTGCATGGACAATTTTTAAGACTCTTTTAGCATTTCTAGTTTTTGTCCTGGACAATGAAAAGTAGCAGGGATATTTTGCAGTAAATGCTGCAAGGAGTGTTAGTTCATTGGAAATATTAATCTTCCTTCTTGCCAAACGTAAAGTATCCCTTTCTCTGTGCTTAACACTACATTTGGCTCAGATTCCATTTTTGAATAATGTATATGGAGCACTAAAAAGTACAGAATAGTGATTTTTTTTTCTGAAATGGTAGAATGATAAATTTGTTAGCAAAATACTGATATAAAAAAAATTTTACTATTTGTATTTTGTCATTAAACGTTGGTCTTATCCCTCAGCTTGATAACAAATGATCTGGCAGTGTATTAGAGAACTAAGTTTTGAATCAAAAAAACCCCTCACCTAAATCTTTAGACTTCCAAAC